GACCTGAAAAAAAAAAAAAAAAAAAAAAAAAAAATCCAATTAATTGCAAACTAATCATAAAGAGATTAAATAATATTGAGAATAAAACGTACTACACTTGATCTTAGCCAAAGGCCAAGAAGCGATAGAATAAAACTTACATAAAAGTTCACACTGGAAGATATGTTGGGCCAAATTCTCATTAAGAAAAAAAAAATTTAATGAAATTTCAATATTTATTATAAAAATATGACTAAAATTTCAATCACAATAAAATCTAACAAAAGCAGTCTTTTAGTTCATAATATACTATATTGAGGCTTTCCTTCTAGAAAGGTACATTTAATTTTGGCTGAATAGAACAGATCCAGAATAATGCTCTTACTGGCTGTGTATCACTTTCTTTTTGAAATAGTGGATTTGAAGAGTTATTTCCTATTTTCAAATGATTTAAACCTTTCACAGATTGTGCAAATTTACCTCCACTAATCACAATAAAGACTGACAATGCAGTTTTAACAATTATCTACAAAAACTTTAAAATGTACTTGGTAAATACAGAAATCAAAAATATCTGTCTGGATAATGTAGTTTAAGTCAATTTCTTTTGGAGTAATGGAATAATATACTGTAGGAATACCATAATTTGGCTCTTTCTCAAAAATGTTAAGAATATGTGGTTTGTTTTTTGAAATCCCAAATATAACCCACCGTATTTACTACCTCCTATCCTTTCCAATATATTAGATAATTGCACACCATACTAAAAACAAAATGAAGGGAAACATTCTAACTGCTCATCTTTTTCATTTAAAAAAATAGCAATATTACACATACACACAACATCTTGTAAAGGTCAAAATGCTTAGCCCCAAAGAAAGGTATTTTTCCTTAATTAAAAAAAAAAAGCGAATTTAGAGGATGGGGGAGAGGGGTTGGGGGATCATTGGTTTTGGCAAAAAAGATGGCTTAGTAATTTTTGCATCCTGTTCTGGAGACTCATGTAGGTGCCTCAGTGGCTAGGGCCCAAAACCACATTAATCAGAGAAAACTGCATGTTTTTGGAGCACGGAGCTTCAACAAAGACTGTTTGAACTGAGGTGACCATAACTTTAAAAATTCGAAAAACTGGGGCTGGGAGTTTAGCTCAGTGGTACCCCATGCCTGAAGAAAAAAAAATTCTGAAAATCACTAAAAATGATCAACCTATAATAGCAATGGTTAATAGTGACATTAATACTTCATACACTAAAAATATAAACAGCAATATTAAATATGGAAAAATGGCTTAAAACGGGTAGAACACTAAGAAACAGGCAAGACTTAGCTGAGTTTCTTTTATGAATAAGTGTGTTCCTTTGGTTCTAATCAGTTTTATCAGGATATTATTTGTTTAGGGAAGAGACACACAAGTTAAACTTTTGCAAATGTGCTTTGGCAAAAAGACAGTAGATAGCTCATCAAGGTATCAGCTGTGCTCCCAAAGCCAGCAGCCTCAGCAGGTGAATGTATGATCACGCTGACATGGGGTATGCTCGTTTAGATGAATGGGGGGCCAATTAATAATACTGGGATGGGACATACCCTCATAGTCTGGGAATCTGTACTAGAAACGATATCCTTTCCCAAGGGTATCATTTCTAATTTGTTTTTTTTCTTTTTTTGTATGGAGGATCAAACTCGGGACCTTGTGTGTGCGAGGCAGATGGTGGAACCACTGAGCTAAACCCCTGGCCCTGGACATTCCTAATTTTAAACAACTACTGCCCCCTCTTAGTCTTCTATACTTACGTCAACTAATGCTAACAAAAATCAGAAATTAGAATTTAACAAAGTAATACATGAAAACCATCACTTCCCAAACAAATTAGAATATTTAGAAAATTAACTATTTTAATGCTTTGTTTTCTTTGAAGAAACTACAGATCTAAAGCTTATTTGCCAGTGCCAACTAGCACTGACTAGCCTCTCCTATATTTCTCTCCCTTCCTTTAGTCCTTTCAACAGTATTACTGTTGAAATTGTGACAGAGAAGTATCAAAGCCATCTAAAAAATAATCCTATAATTTTTTTGTCACATAAAAACGCCGTTTAACTAGTGAAAGTATGGACAATTCTCCTATTCATCAAACTTTTAAAAATGTGGAACATTATTTTCTTTTTCTTTTTATTAAGTTTATTCGTACAACCTAAGTATACAATACAGTTACATTCATCATTGGGATTCTGTACCTTTACATAATTGGTCTTGATTCTCATTTTTTCCCCTTGTCCCTGCCCTCCCTTCACCCCCTCTTCCCCTCCCCGTTTACAAACACTTTATTTCCATTTTTCAGTTTCTCATATTTTTTTCCTCTCCCTTATTACCTCTCCCCCACCCTTCCCATTTTCCCTACACCTTTAGCCCTTTACTTCCTATTTCACATCATTATTGTCTCATTAGGATCCTGTGTACCATTATAGTTTTTCACACCAAAGAAACTATTCGGTATTTCAGTTAAAGAAATCTCTGTATGAACATTAAAAATAGGGAATCCTAAAATAAAACTAAAAAGGAAAGTAAAAGAGAAAAGTCAATGATATAACATTAAAATAATCCTTAATTCTGGAGATGAAAATGGTCCCTGAACATATTTAAATTGCTTCTTGCTCTTATAGTCTTATCTTATTCTTTTTTTCATTATTTAGAGAATACTTTATTAGTTTCTGTAATCAGACCCAGGTAGATGTGACCTTACATATTTAGTACGATGTGTTACCCCTGTATACATGGGAAAAAAAAAATATTAACATTTCTAGAACAATATGGCTATCCAGTTCTGTACAAAAAAACAGTGGTTAGATGCTACGAAGTAGGTGGCAATGCCTTAACCGTATGTGTGTTGTCAGGCCAAGGGCCTCTTCCATCCTTGTCAAGGGGAGTGCTAATCTTCTCTCCTTTCATACAACACTGGAACATTATTTTTTAATACTTATTACTTTACAAGAGAATAGTCTCTCTATAGTAAAGACTCAGTTGTAGAGGGTAAAGATAAGAAGGAAAAAATCATTAGCATTAATAGTTTAAAAGTAAACTATATGAATACTTGGAGGTAAAAATAATCCTTTCATTTGGTTAAAAAATAAGATGAACAATAATCTGGACTACATTAAATAACATTTACTTCTTAATATTACTGGATATTCTTCAGAAGGCTCAGAAATAAAAATAACAGCAGTCTGTTCCAAACACAAGGAAGATAAATATTGCTGTCCATAAAATCTCCAAACTGTGACTGAGCTAATTAATAATATATTAGAGCTACAACTCTCATTTCTTCTCTGTGTTAATGAAAGCAATCCTACACCCAGGACAGAATGCTGGGAAGGTACTGATGCCCATAATGGAAGTACAGAGCACTATCAAAGGGGACCCACACATGAGACAGTGTAGATTTTTCCCATTCGATGTTGCTCTCTAGACGTGAGACAAACCATAATAAATTAAAGTCATTTATTTCCTCAAAATGGATAAAATATGAAAACAAGGTCCAAGTTACTTGTAGATAATGATTTTCTCTAAAGATCTAATATAAAATATGTACAGGTACATCAATGTAAGTTTCTGAAAGATTTCAAAATGACTTCTTGCTCTAAAAGTCACATTTGAGACTGATACATGAGCTAGGTGCTTCAATCTATTTATTTATTTGTTTGCAGTGCTGGGTATTGAATTCAGGGCCTTGTGCATGCTAGGCAAGTACTCTGCCACTGAGTTATTCCCCCCATCCCTCAATCCTTTTCAGAGTAAGACATAAATATAATTTCGCATATTTATAAGTTGTTGAAATGTTATACATTCAAGAAAATATCAAATTTTCCTGATCATAAATTTCCTATTAAAATATATTTTGTTCATATACATTTATATCATAAAAATCATTACTAAATAAATATACAACACAGACTAGAGTGACCTTATTTGTTTTTAGTATTTATATTTTATTTATAAAACCTATCTCTTCAAAGAAATAAGCACACATTGGTAATTTCTTTTCCTGTTTCTTAAACCAAGACAAAACTGAGCTAATCAGACAGAAACACACACACACACACACACACACACACACACAGAGTTTTTTAAATCCTAGGGTTAAGTGAATTCTTTCTACATATCTTTATAAGCAACACATGGTGTGAGAGGAGACACCATTTACAGTTCACACCACCTACAAGCACCCTGCAACTTTTCAAACAACTTTCAGAATGAAGTTTTTACTTGAGGAAAGAGATCTTGTCCTACTTGAAGTTCAAGAGGTCAATACAAACTGAAGTTCAAACTTCTTGTAAAAAACAAAAGAAATTCAAAAATTACTTCAAATAAATATATGATTTAAATGCTGACAAGATTGGCTTTAGCATATACACAGAACTGCAGCTCAACCCCAGGAGGCAGGATGCTTACCTGCTTCCTGTGAATTCAGCACTTCTAAGGCATGCATCATGGCACTTGCAAAGACATTGGCATCCTCCTTGCTGCCAAAGTTGAGGCCGTACACCTGTCTAGCATCTCGCCATTGGTGGAAAGTCTGTGTAGCTTGATTATACTTCAACCCTTTAGGAATGGCACAATTTATCACGACCTAAAAGACAATTAATTTTTTATAAAGTCAAGCTAATACCTTGCAAAATCAAGGAATAAGTGAAAGTGTTTCAATAAGGCTGTCCACTGGATCCAGCGCCATCTTCTAACAGCAGCAGCTTACCTTTTTTCATATCTCAAATGACTTGTTTTGCCCCGCTGGTTAATATGTGAACTCAACACCACAGTATCTTTAATGACTGTAGCTTTACATTAAGTCACAAGAGTCTCTGGGTATTTCCCTTACTTTTTTCTTCAATATTGCTTTGGGTATTCTCAGTCAAGCTATCATTGTATATTCTGGTTATCAATTTCCACCAAATTATTTTTAGAATTTTGATTAAGGTTACACTGAACCTTACATCAATCTGGGAAGAACTGGTAATGCAAAATTAGCTACTAAGTCATAAATATCATATACTGCCTTTTATTTAGATTGACTGTGACACTTGATACCTTTCCATATGCTGATCTCAAATGTTTCAGTATCTCAAATGGTTAGGTATTTGATAAATTTTTGTTACTATTATAAATAGTAACATTTAAAATTTTTCCTTCTCTCTTATGAAAACTGCTTTTTGTATAATGACAATGTCCTAAGAAGCCTTGTTGAACTTGTCTTTTAATTCTAATCAACTATTACTCTAATATAATGGTAAATTCTAACCGTTCTAATCTTATAATCCTAATAATTTATATTCAGCCTCCTCCCAATATATATCCATCACATCAGCAAGAGATAGCTTTATTTCTTCCTTTTCAATTGTATATAGTATTATCTCTCTTTCTTACCTACATTATACTGGCTAGGATTCACAATGCAATGTTGAAAAGATGCAGTGATACTCCTTTTGTCTTATCTGATACTCTGAGGGAAAGCTTCCTTAATGTGACCCGTACACACCACCTTCTGTGAGCAGTTTTGTAAACTTTCACCAGAGCACAGAAGCATGCCTGACTCTAAGATGTTTATATTTCCACGTCAAATTAACCTGCAATTTCCTTTCTGTTGTATTCGTGAACGTTTAAGATCCCTTTCTTAGTCATTTCCGGAAAAAAATTTTGTAATGTTGGTGTTAGTTTTTTAACAAATTAAATGGCTAACCATACATACAAACAAAACAGTTTGCTTGAACACAGAGTTCTCTTTTTTTGAAATTCTTTTAACTGTGGTCTTAATTTATTTAAAAATAGTAATACTGTCCAGATTTCCTATTTCTTCTCATGAGTTTTGTAAAGTTGTATTTTCCCAGGATCTTATACACTTTACCTAAGTTTTCAAAACTGCTGCCTTACGCCAGCTGAGGACACCCTTGGCTCACTCTGCTGCCCTACAGGGTTTGTGCTGGTGTCCTCTTCTCACATCGTCACTTGCTTCTCTCTCAACCAGAACCCCCGGGACCTTTAGAGCAGATCCTCTCCTTGGTATATATATGCTTTCCACTACATTTATTTCGGCTCTTATCTGCACTTGATCTTAGCCGAAAGGTTGAGAGGTGATTTTTTCAGCTCTTATTTGTATTATCATCCTCATTCTATTTTATTTGGCTTTAATGGCCTATTCTTTAATTCCTTGAATCAATTCTTTCATTCACCTAACCCTTGAGAAGAGACAACACTGTAAAGAATCCTTAAAACTATGGAAGAAATGCTTGTTTTTACTTAATGAAAACTACAGCAAGTTTCCCAACTTATGAACACTTCAGTTGCAAGCCTGCACAGATCCAAACGGAACTTGCATTACAAACATTAGTAGATACAAACAAACTGTGGAATAGCTCACATGTCTGCTAGATGCTGTTACAGTTGTGCCACTGTATGCTTACTGAACAGTGCAATAGTGTACAGTAGTACAGTCCAGTCAGGGAATTACCATATTTTGGGGTTTAATTTTTGTATGCTTTACACTGTATATTTTTGGCAAAGGTATGTAAGACTTGCTTTGTCACACTTAAAAACAAATCCGATTTTAAGAACATTTTCCTGGAATGGAACTGTGCTTACGGGACATCCGCAAAGCATGCGTCAGGCTTGGACCTGACCACAACCCAAGCTCATGCTGCATATCAGTGGGCCCAAGTTCAAACTGGTGCCACAACAGGTCGTGCAATGCAATAAATGCATTCTCTTCCTTGTGTCTTGACTCAGTATCAACCACATCTATGAAGCCACCCATTCCCATTTTCCCTTACTCAACAAACTAGTGATTCTTTTATGCCATATTGTGCTATAATTTATATTTATTACAACTGTATTAACAGCTCTTCTTTTAAGTTTTACATTCAAATTTTTGACTGCATCCTCTCTTCAAGGTAAAAAACTTAATGAACCTAACCATAGTGCTTAGAGCATCACAAACAATTAGTGTGCTGGGTATGGTGGCGCACACCTGTAATTCCAGCACTTGGGAGTCTGAGGCAGGAGGACTGTTCAAAGTTCAAGGCCAGCATGAACTGTATAGCAAGACCCTGTCTCAAACAAACAAAAAATAAAATGAAAATAAACAACCAGTGTTAAGCAGAAAAAAATGGAGTAATTTGTACATACTCCATTTTTTAAAGAAGTAGAGAGTAATTTCTTTAAATTAGTGTTGTTAAAGTTTGGATGTTTAGTAAATTGTAACAATGTATTTCCACTTGGAAAAGACTGATTACCAGTAAGAGGTACAAGAAATGCAGTCTAGAATGAGAAGAAACCAATTACTACTGCACATATTCATAGGTACATTATCATTTATTTCTTTAATAGTATCTTTATAAAATGTTATTTTCCAGTTGTTTATTGCTAGTTATTTAAAAATGCTACCAATTTTAAAACACTAATCATGTATTAACCTGCTGAATAATCTTATTAGTAATAGTCTATCTGCAGACATGTTTAGGATATTTTGTTTTCTTTTTTTTTTTTGTACCGGAGATTGAACTTGGGACCTTGTGCTTGCAAAGCAGGCGGAAGAACCAGGATTTTTTTTTATATAAACAGTTCCATCATCAGTGAATAAGACAGCTGTTGCCTCCTTTTCCATCCTTAAAGCCTCTATTTCTTCTTTGTACATCAGGTAAGCTATAATGTTATCTGCAACACTGAATGAAAGTGGCTAAAAGTGAACCCCCAAACTGAATCACAGGTTTAACAGAAATGCTCTCAATAAGGGCTGCAGATTTAACTCAGTGGCGCCACACTTGCCTTGAAAGCACGAGATCCTGAGTTTGATCCCCAGTGTGGGGGGTGGGGGGTTCTGGATGGGACGGATGACAACACATGCTTTCAACTTTGTCCCATCCAGAAAGGTATACATATGCTCATTTCTACCTTTATCCATTAAGAAAATCTGTTTTTATACACAATGTACTGGAAATTATTATGTATTGATTTGAATTTTATAAATGTTTGTCTCTGAACCCCATTTCTTACACATTTTATGCTAGTAAATTACTATTGGTTAGCTAATATTAAACTATGTTTTGATCACTGAGATGAAGAAAGAGAATCCTACACTTGGCCCAGAGGTGATCTTTTACTTTTTTCATCATGCTGCTGCATTTGGTTTGCAACCTGTATTGAAGATTGCTTCTATCTATGTAAGTGTATGTTCATAAGTGAGACTGGTTCATAACTTTCCTGTCTCAAACTGTTCTCTTTTATATTATCAGAACTATACTGGCCTTATAAAATACCATACTCAGCAATGATTTGTGTGACACAAGCAGTATCTTGGAGTTCTAAACCTTCATCTGTAAAATGTTCTGGACTCCCCTATATCTCTTTTAAATTTTATGAGTAGATAAGTAATTATTGATTTATTTTACGACTGTAGGTTTATTGTTTTTCTACTTTTCTGTCCATTTCTGAAAAAATTGTATTTTTCTACAAAATGGCCCATTTACTGGTAGTAAGTTTCAGTTACAATTTCTCATTTCCCTGCAACTAGAGTGCTTTCTCATTCTTAAAATGATCTGTTTATAACTTTTATTTTATTTTTTTTATTCTGCCAGGGTTTTTCAATGATATAGCTTTTATACTTTTTAGTTTTATTTATTTTTATGCAATTAATTCTTTTTAGTTTCTTTCTCTGGGTTAAGCTCTCCGCCAACAAAATACAGTATGCAGTGTCAAGATGTGGCCATCTTAGGACAATTTAGATATGTAGCATCTTATCACTCCCATCTAAATATTTTCTTATTTTCATAACAATTTCATCTTATATATTTATGACTGATTTTGAATTTTCAAAAATTTAAAGGAAAAAGTCTGTCACAGGATAGTTTGACTCTCTTATGAATAAAAAATGTTAGTGTTTCATATGGATATGCTCTGGCTTAACCTAATTTCTAGTTTTTAAATATTAATTTTCTTTTGTGCTGACATGCTTTTAGGATTGTTTATCAGTACTGGCAAGAACTGATCTGGAATGCTGTATTGGGAAACCATTCCTACACAAAGTTATAATTATCTGTTTCTTGTGTTTTTCTCCACAATAGCATCTTAGGAAGTAGGTAGCTTGTCTCTGGCCTAACATACACTGGACCATGCCACTGGAGGAGATGAAGAGCACAGAGAGGGAGCACTGTGGGGCTGAGGACACCAGAGAAAGGCTGTGCAACACAGCAGGGAAACTGGAGCAGAGGGATAGGAGATAGACTAGGAAGGTAAGAGAAGAGAGATAGGAGGATGACAAAGAAAAAGTAAGCTGAGAAGGTAGGAAGAGCACCAGGCTGAGAGAGTATACTAAATTGGTAAATTCAGAAGTTTTTGTTTGTTTGTTTGTTTTTCTATTGACTGACTCAAGACTGTGAAAATTTCTCTCTGGAGGAGTATTACTTTTGTTTTCATCAGGTTCCTCAAGAGTTTCAGTGGCCTGCAACCAGTATTTATTAATAATTTCTTGGGCTGGGGATTTAGCTCAGTGGTTCCGCCGCCTGCCTCGCAAGTGTAAGGACCCGAGTTCCATCTCCTGTACCAAAAAATAAAAATAAAATAAAATAATTTCTTGGCTGGAGTTGGGTAAGTGAAATTGGAATTTCCATTTCTCAGCTCAGACAGAAACCAATTCCTAGGACTCTCTGTTCTGACTGAAGAGGTTCTCACAGTCCTCTCAAGAACCCTGTAAGACTTCCAAGTTCTATGTAGAGATAGAGTTTCAAACCACAGCCTCTCAAAGGCCCACAGTCCCTATACACATACAGATCTAAGACCCATCTCCATCCTGACTCTGGGGCTGTTACAGTGTCTGGCTATACAACATGTCATAGTGGAGTCCTAGGGATCTACCCCTGTTTACTAACAGCTTAGCTGAGCATTAAAGAAAATTTGTTGTATTCTTCTTACACTAGGAACAGGACAATTTTAACATCACCTCAAAACATTTTTTACAAGTACTTTTAGGGCCGGGGATTTAGCTCAGTGGTTCCGCCACCTGCCTTGCAAGCGCAAGGTCCCAAGTTCAATCCCCAGTACCAAAATAAAATTTTTTTTTAAGTGGGCCGGAGATTTAGCTCAGTGGCAATGCACCTGGCCTTGCAAGTGCAAGGTCCTGAGTTTGATCCCCGGTACGAAAAACAAAAAATGTTTTTTAAGTGTACAATTCATGTAAGTTCTCACTGCTGCCAGTATATAGTTAATGTTAGCAAAACCCTATATACCTTTCTCCTTTGTCTACTGTTCCTGATCTTTCAGGAAACAAGAAATCAACTAGACTGTCCGAAATTTACTTTTAGCTCTTTATTTTTATTACTAATATATGTTTGTGATACAAAATCATTACATTCATCTTAGGGAGTGATTATTGCATCTTGATCTTTCTTTTTTCACTTTTTCTTAGTACATGTTTACAGTACATGATGATTATACTCCTTGTGTGGGAAATGGTACATGTACATAACACATCTCAGTTCTTTTTTCACCGCCTGCCCTTCTGAGACAGGTCTAACTCCCTACCTACTTCCTATTATCTTTTCTTTTGCTCCTTATTTATCTTTTGAGTCTGTCCTATAAGAGAAGCCATGTGGCACTTACGTTTACATCTGATTTACTTCATGGTCTGAAATGCATCAAGCCCCCTCCTCTCCCTTCCCCTCCATACTCTTTTTTCTCTTACTCAGATTGCAAAAACTAGCTAATGAAGACCACACAGAAGACCACATTTATATTTTCGTACAATTAGTCATACATCTTTGTGTACATTCAGAAAGGGTAGGGCTGGGGATTTAGCTCAGCGGTGCTGCCACATGCCTCAAAAGTGCAAGGTCCCGAATTTGATCCCCGGTACCCCTCACCCCTCCCCAAAAAGTAGAAAGGGCAGAGAGGGAAACCTATATTCAATATTTCCCAGAGAAATCATTTTCACCAGCATTTTGAAGCATGGTTTTCTTTTACTGATTATACCAAGTCCTTCCATGAAATGGGATCATCTCCAGCAGCAGCTGGCCGGCTCTTACCTGGTGGTCCTGGATCTTCCTGCCCACCACTCTGAACGTGTTGTTGCCTGTGTGGTGATAGATGTGGACTCTGCTGAACCCTGTGGAGCCACCAGCTGGCACCCACTTCTTGTTGGCATCGTCATAAACCATCACAGCAGCTCTCGCCTGACAGATACTCTGTTCACTGCAAAAAAATACAAAGTTCAGACTTAAGATGTTTAAAATAAGCTAGGTGTCCCACGTAGTCACACAAGCCAGTGTTAGCCAAAACTGACAGTAAGCAATAATTAGTGCTGTACTAGGTGCTGCAAACAGTGAGAAGTACCAGAAGCTTACTCTGCAGGAGAGCCTGCTGGGGAAAGCAGAGACATGAAAAGTAATAAGGGACAAATGAAGATGAGGGTCCACAGAAGCACCCACATAAGCCACACTAGAGCCATTCGCTTTTACATGAGCCATCTAATGCTTTCATTAATGGAATATAAGTACAAATCAATTGTCATTTTTTTTTTAACTGTACACATGCTCCTAAAACCCTTGGCCTCTAGAGTGATCAGGTCTCTGGTTTGCTGCAGAGATAAACCTTGGCTAAAGGGCTCGTAGGTAGCTTCAGGATGGGGTTTGGTGACCAGAAACATCAAGGGAGGACTGTAGCACTGGAACTCAGCCCCGTCCTTTAATCACATACTCACTCACTCACTCACTCACTCGCACACAGCCCTATCTCGCCTCTGGGGAGAGAGAGGAAAAGGCTAGAGACTGCATTCCATCACCAATGGTGATGCCTGTCTTCGGGAGAGGGCACAGCTGACAAAGGAGAATCCATGCCAAGAAGGAGGAGATCTGGTCCCCAGACCACCCAGAGATGCTGAAAGAGTAATGTATAGCTGGGCATGTAAACTTACTCCACCCCATGCTGTGACCTCTGCATTTCTCCATTTGGCTATCCCTGAAATGAATTCTTTATAATAAGCAGTTAGAGCAAATGCTTCCCTCTGTTCTGGGAATCATTCTAACACATTTTCAAACAGGATGAGGGATATCCTCAGGATCTGTAGTTGACTAGGCAGACACATGGATAGCCTGGGGACCCCATTTTTAGCTGGTGTCCAAAAGGGGGATCCACACACAGCCTTGGAGACTGAGCTAACTCTGGATAGATACTGTCAGAATTGAACTGTTCAACAACTAATTGGCTAGGGAGAACAGACTGTTGTCAAGGGGCAAAAACACTCATATACTAATTCCAACTACAGAAGTAATGCACAAAATAAACCAGCATATCCAGGTTTTGGAGTTCATGGACCTAAAAACTTCAAAAAAATACTGATTGGGTGAGTCAATATAGAATTGGTTGTCAATACTTTAGAATACTTGCCAAGTAGGTAGTTGGGGATTAGGGGAATAACTTACTAAAATGAAGGTCTTTTCTTTAACCTAAAAATAGAAATTTTTAAAATCTCAAAATAAAGGAAAAGCATCATATGATTTCTAGACAGTTATCTATACTGACTATAGACATTTCCACCTTTGCTACTTCTCCTCAGTCAAGAATCTACCTTTTGTTTTCATTCTTCCCCCCCATGCCAGGGAATGAACCCAGGGCCTTTGTACTGAGCTATATGTCTCTACCCCACTCCTCTTGAATTTTGAGACAGGGTCTCACTAAGTTGTCCAAAGTGGGTTTGAACTTGCAATCTCTTTGTCTCAGCCTCCCAGAGCACTGGTATCCAAAGCATGTGCCATCATCACACCCAGGGAAGACCTGTTGTATGATTGTCCTTAGTCACAACAAAGTATTGCTGCGGAGCTATGAACAACAAAGACGCATATCTTTCTATGACCATCACATTTTCATCTCAACAAGGCTTACAGCTAAAGTTTGTCAAAACCATCCAGATTCTGAGCCAGTGAACCAACTATGAAACAGATTAAATTAGTAAAACACTAAGCTGTACTTTTGTAAAGATCAGGCCCTAAATTTGTTATAAACAAAAAACTGCATTCCTATCACCCAATACAACTGGTATATATAGTTGGTTGTACTTCATCTTTTTTATGTTAGTTTTGGTATTTTTCAATAAAATAAGGCATGACAGGACTAGAGATAAATGGTCCAAAAAAAGTCTTAAAACCATGACAGTACATTGTTATTTTGTAGATTTTTTCAGATAATGCATTTCTAATACAGTCAAATTTCCAGAGAAGGTATATATAAGAGCAGAGAATGATTGCCAAATTGTCACAGATACCAGTGAATGAAATGTTTCTTGGTTTTTAAGCAGGCTAAGGATTGCTCAGGTATTCTTGTACATATTATTAATTAGTACTGCAGTAAAGCTAAGTAACAAATAGCAACTTTCTCTCAAAGACACCTTTCCTAGCCATTACTTGACAAAGAAAGCATGAGTATGACAGCACCAAGCACATGACAGGCACTCCTTGTCAGCACTTAACTTCATCTAACAAAATCCTCAAGATCTGGATCAAATGCTGTTCCTTCTATTAAGTCTTCCTGGGATCCTCAAAGCCAGAATTAATTGTTTCCTTCTCCAAGTTCTAGTATTCATTAATTTCTCAACAAGCAAGATTCTCTAGGGGAGGTACTGTCTGAGCCAAAGGAGGGAGTTGTATTTTACTCCAAGTGCACTGGGAAGTCACTGGAGGGCTTTAAGCAGAATAGGACTCACATTTTAAAAGATGCTTCTAGCTACTGTGACAAGAAGGGATTTTGGAAAGTGATGTGGAAGTTAAGAATGGACATACAAATGACAGACTATAAAACAAGAGGGAAGCATGTGGGATATGTGCTAAAAGTACAGCAGAAAAGATTTGCAGAGATAAGATGGAAGAAATGGGAAACCAAAAGATGAGAAATCATGGCTGCAACTCCAATTTCTCCCAGAGCACTGTTAAGAAAACTAGGAGAGAGAAAAAAAAGAAAAGAAAAGTAGGAGAGGCTGTTGCCTTTGGGCTGAGCACCTGCATTAGGCCCCCAAAGACCAGAGTAACCAAAATGGAGTCACTCAAACTAAATCCCATGTAATCAAACTGAAACTATAAGGAAACAGATCCCCAAGCAGAAGTTTTTCCTGAAAACAGGAAAATTCCAGTTCACCTGAGTCAGCATAACAAGGAAGTCCCCCTGCTTTACCCTTACAGAAAAGTAACCTCCCCATGTTTCCTTTTTTTTAATCTTTAAAAACCCAACATCTTGCCACTGCTCAGAAGAGTTCTTGTACGTTACAGAACAAAGGCTGCCACAATGGATCAGTTGTAGGCAAAAGCTAATGAGAATACAAATTGTTGTGATATCGTCTTTTGACAGTACTGGTGACCAACAAAAAGACTCCGGAACCACTACTGACTCCCCAGGATCCTGGTGAAACGCAGAGAAAGACAGAGATGTCCCCAAGGGCTCTTCCCCGCTCAGTGTCCCCAGCACACTCTGCTCTTCCTGCACCCAGCCCCCTTTGGCTTTCAAGCCAAGGCATGGTGGCCTGTGGTATGACAGTACAGGACCCTCTGGACTTTGTGGAAGTGCTGAGAAATCACATGCAAGAGCTACAAACTTTGCAGATAACTGCAGGCAGCTGCAGTCAAGGTTATCAGGCACCAGAAGCATGAACTCTGACTTTTGGAATATGCAATTTTACGTGCTGGCTGAAGTAGGGCGAAATCACTGGCTAAATTGATCAAGGGGACATCAGAGCCAAAGCCACAACTTCACTGGTGGGCAGGGGTGAGGCACTTCAGAGCCATGATAATGCTTAGGACTGAAGAGTAATAAGACTCTCACGTTAGGATCTCAGCCTTCTGGCAGACTGTACTCTAATTCTTTATCTTTGAGTTCTGAGAGACTTAAGACGTAACATTCAGATGTGATCCCTAATTTCTTTCTGAGACAGTCACAAAGTTGTCCAGGCTGGACTCCAACTCATAATTCTCCTGCCTTGGTCTTCTGACTAGCTGATCACAGGTGTGCAAAACATAATCCTTAATTTCTAAGTAGTCCATAATTCTGCCTACCAACACCTGCCTTTTACAGGTTAAAGTATGCAAAAATAGTTTTAAAGGGTGAAAGCCTTCACTATGTTAGGAGGAAGCCCAAGAGTGGTGTCTGCAAGGCAAGGAGTTTTACTGGGAGGAAAACAGCCCTGTTGTCTCTTTGGTCTTGGACCACCAGCCCCCAAAACTATGAGAAAGTAAATTTCTTTTTAAGCCAAATAATAACAATAGTCATAATAAAATGAAAAGTTTTAAAGTATGTACCAATTTAAGGATAATCAATTACTTCAATTAATCAACGATTGTCACAAGTAGTTCATATTATAATGAGGTACTAAATAGTTGTTTTCCTTTGCTATTCCATTTTTTAAAAACTTGTAAAAAAAAATCTCCTTGTTAATAACATGTAGATTTTTCCATTATGACTGAGGAAAATAGCAAAAGTACTGTGAATACCAATAACTAATGGAAGATATAAATTATGGCAGCAGCAAAGTTATCTTCTGCAAGACAAGAAAACCACTTGAATACAGTAGCTCCAAATATTTAGAAAGGCAAAACTTTAATGAACATACAACTGTTCATCTTTCAGAGAAATATCAGCAATTTTAAAAAGGCAAAACATCAATGTCAGTGCTAAACTCTATCCACCATATCCATATTGATATGCAAAGTACAAATGTAGCCTCATTTAACCTAGTTTAACTGATTCAGTTGCCAAAAACAAAACAAAAAGTTATCAGTGTATCTAAAGTAAGATGACATGTTTTTTAAAACATTTCAGCAGATCTTCTAGGCTATTCTCCAGAATGAAAAAAATTAAAATATAAAGAAATTGCCAGGGTTAAATACTATGTAGGCATATGATCTTGAAGGAAGTACTTATACTCATGCACATTTAGGAACAGTGGAAGTCATCTTTTTAAAGTAACAACTATGGTACTATTTGATTTTAATCTTGAGTAAATGTTACTTGAATAAGTATAGAATCTGCAAAATTTAATAAATGTGACTCGGCCAATAAAAAGAACTTGCTACTGTCAACAACATATCTGGAAAAAATTATTAAAAGTAACTGACAATGAAAAGGTACAATTTTTATATTCTTAGAACAACAAGAAAGAAGATAAACTGGGATGGAATTTCTGAGAGTTAATGGAGAAGATATAAAATGAA